GTGCTCTGCTCACCTCGCTCTGCTGCCTTTCAACGCAACTCCAGACACCCTCACTAGTCTTGGCAATATTTAAATCTGTTTCATTTGAAAATATAATGTTAATTCAAGTGCACTTACTTCTTTTGTTTTCTCTTCACATACAGCTAAGTACATTCAAGTGTTTTTATATATTAAAAACAATGGTGCACACCTGGTAAAAGGCCAGGTTTTATGCAGTTTTTTTCTTGGTAATGCTCTGTACTTCTGCCCATGTAGTTAATCGTCACATTCATTATTTATTAGGTTCTAAGTACCTGCAGGAAAATATTCCTTATCCTATGATTCATTTTTGTACATCTTACACATTAATGACTATATACTGAAAACAAATTTCAGAAACATTCAGAAAAATCTTTTCTTTCCTCTTTTTACGTTATTTTAGTATATTAAGTTCAGTTCATTAGCTCTTTTAATACAACTTACAATAATTTTTTAAAAATTCATTATGTGATATTAGCATTGATTTCAGACAGAAAAAGAAAATCATTAGGAATTAGGAATTTGGAAATAAATCTACATCTGAATAAGTAACATATTCAGTAGGATGGACTGCTCATAGGCAGGTCAATATCAACATATTTCCCAAGTAAATTTTCAGAAGTTATCCCTTGAAGACATATGTATTAAAAGCATTAAATCTTTACAACCTTCCTTCTTTGAAATCTGTTGCACCATGAGTATACCCATCAAATCAAGAAAAATACTTGGAAAGTAAACTCTGTTCCAAGGAGTCTGAATATCCAATCTTTATGATGTTTAAATGTTAATATAATTTGAACAGTTTTTAATCTGTTAAGCAAATAGATTTTTGATCTATTTCAGCAAAATACTGAAAAATATTTTTACTGCTGGAAATACATCCTATGATGTAGAAAAATACATCAGATAATTTATGAGGAATTTAGGTTATAATGCAACATATTACACTAAGGTTATTAACATCATTCACTGCTTTGAGTCCACATACTTGTTAATGAAACTTGTAGACACTAAAGAAATCACAAACAACTTTTCAAGATAGTTTTGTAAAGCTAGGTGAATATCAGTCTTGTAAGATGCTGTCCTCTCTCAGACATCTGGTGTAATGTTTTTTTAGGATGATTCAAAAAAATATCCTTAATTTTGATGAAACACATAGGCCCACACTTCCTTTTGGCTTGAACTGGTTAATGAAGTCTATACACTAACAGTATTTCCTCATCTAAATGATGCAGTGCGTGAATTGGGTGATTGTTTTGAGCAGATGTACTTACTGCAGGAGCTGCTGGACTAGCTGTCTGGATTGCCCTTAGATTTCTAACAACTTTTTTGCTCATCTTAGGTGAAGAAGCCCACATGCATGAGTTCTATAGTCCATGTGCACATATTTCATACTATAATTGCCTAAGAAGACCCAAGAGATGAATGATCTTAGTTCTGCAACCAGATGCTGCACATGCCTAAGTGCAACCTTATTCCCAGTTGTAATCTCATTAAGTTAGGAGTCTGTTATTCATGTGCTTGAAGGTCTGCAGGTCCAGGAACTATGTAAAAATGGAAGAAAATTATTTCATAGCATTAACAAAAAGTAATGATGTGGGAGTGAATGTACTGCACGCACATGGATAAGTTTTCCTCGCCCAGGCTTGGTCAATTAAAGAAAGACTGAATCCTAAATATGCCAAAGATAAGTGAGCAAGAGATACACCTCCAGACTTTATTTCCAGTAATAGGTATTACTACCGTTTTCTGTGCTCATTTTTTTCAAAGCCACCATCCTGTGAAAATTGTGATAAAGCTGACAAAATCAGAACAATATGCCAAATCGCTGGCTATTATCTGATCTTTTATGCACATAATGTCTTGAACACTTAGAAAGATATTTTCTGTAAGTATTTCCTAGATTCTCACAGGGCTATTTAGAATTTTTTCAAGTAATCCCAGTGAAGCCAAGCCTGCTGAAATGCAAACAGAATGACTGTGCAGAAATCCTCTTCTTTCCTGGAGTCTCAAGTTGAAATAGCAGATGGCAGTCAAGACTTGGGAAAGATGATTTTCTGGAAAGATGTGTTATGTTTGAGAGAGTTTGAAAAACTAGTATTCTATACTACTATACCACTAATATGAAATCAGTATCATAGAGCAAGAGTAGCTTGCCTGTGTCTACCTCATGCACAAAAAGAGGTGCCCAGCAGAAAGAGAGGAAGATCAGACTTCTGCTGGTTCACACGCAGCAGCCTGTATAGATGGGATGTATTAAAGTGCAATGAAGCAAATGTGAGGATCTTGGGAAAAGGTATGCCTTCATTCATTCTACTTCATTTTTTTTGTAAGATAAAATCTTCAGTTTTTAGTTCCTTGGAGGTGGAAAAGACTGCCAAAATTCCCTGGGTACCTCTCAAAAATCCATTTGAATTTAGATTAGATATAGGACATCTTTATTGCTGCTTTGAGGTAAGAAAGAAAGAAAGAAAAAAGAACGGAAGGAAGGAAGGAAGGAAGGAAGAAAAAAGGAAGAAAAAAGGAAGAAAGGAAGAAAGAAAAAAGGAAGAAAGAAAGAAAGAAAAAAAAAAGGAAGAAAGGAAGAAAGAAAGAAAGAAAGAAGGAAAGAACTGATCAAAACTAGTTAAATAACAATGCAACAAAAATTAGTATCATAAAATCATAGAATCGTTTAGGTCAGAAAGGACCTTTAAGATCATCGAGTCCAACCATAAACCTAGCGTGGCCAAACCCACCACTAAACCATGTCCCTAAGTACATCTACACTTTTTAAAGCCCTCAGGGGATGGTGCCCCAGCCCCTTCCCTGGGCAGCCTGTTCCAATGCTTGACAACCTTTCTAGTGAAGAAATTCTTCCTAATATCCAATCTAAACCTCCCCTGGAACAACTGGAGGCCATTTTCTCTTGTCCTATCTCTGGTTGCTTGGGAGAAGAGACCGAAAAGTATCACCTTTTCATTTTTCTTTGAGATTAACACAGATTCATTTCTACATTTATCTGGAAGAGAAGGTATTGGCTTGAATTTGTATCCTAGATTGGATTAAATAAATCTTCTTCAATATTTATTTTAAGAAATGTGTATTTAATATCAGATAGGTTTTTTTTAAAAAAAAAAAAAAACAAAACAAAAACCAACCCATCCTACAACTATAATATGGTTAAAAGGATTGTAAATGGTGGTGAAATTTAAGCAGCTGTAGGCAGCTCTGTAATTAATACATGAAAATTAGCAAAATTATCAGCTCTCATGCACCTCTCTGGAAGATGCTCATGTGCAAAGTTTAATGGAACATAAAGTTAGGAGCACATTAGATTCATAGAATTGTTTAGGTTGGGAAAGACCTTCAAGATCATCAATTCCAACCTTTAAACTAGCACAGCCAAGTCCACCACTAAACCATGTCCCTGAGCACCACATCTACACATCTTTTATATACCTCCAGAGATGGTGACTCTACCACTTCCCGGGGCAGCCTGTTCCAATGCTTGACAACCCTGTTGGTGAAGAAATTCTTCCTAATATCCAGTCTAAGCCTCCTCTGGCACAACTTGGGGCCATTTTCTCTTGCCCTGTCACTTGTTACTTGGGAGAAGAGACCAACACTTTCTGAATAGGAAGAAGGATTGAAATGCTTCAGTGAAACACGCCCCCCTAGAGCTGAAGTACAAGTAACATGGGAAAGAAGTGAAAAACAATCAAAGTTCCCTGGCAATCTCCATCATGCTTAAACCATGCCTTACAGACTGGGCTTGGCCTTTTTCCAGTGCTACTTTGGAGCGTGACAGGTTCAAAGACAGTGTTGTCAGGAATTATAGTGTGTATTCATGTGACTCCCTCTCCTTTTAAGTCAGAGTCTACATAATTTTTTTCAATTACCTTCCAACCACATATTGAACAATATTGACGTATGTTTTTGTAACATCCTCCTTAATAATTAATTTCCTAGTCTCCACATTCGTTTCAGAGGGGATCTTCTCTACCATGGAGCCAAACTTTTTCTGCACAAAGCAATCACATTAATAAAAATTCTGACCTGCCAGCTGTCCAGACCTCATCAATCTGCCAGCAATGAATCTTCTCAACAAGTCATACCATGCAAATCTGACTAACAATATTACAAGCATAAAGAGCAAAGAGAAAGGTCTGCTTATGTCAAAGTGCAATTTCTCTTTGGTGTAAAAAGTCAAGAGCACATACAAAACATATCAGAAGATAAATCAGAAGCTGTGTACATCAACTATACTAAAGAAGATTTGAGTCTGTTCCATTCATAAAAACATTTTAGATCAAAAATAGCAATAATAAACAAAGGTAGAAAAGTTTGAAACTGTTGACACTTTCGTCTCCTGTAACAAAATGATGTTCCAGTCTTGGGCCACCCACATATAGGAAGGAGCATCTTTATTTTCCTAAAGATAGAAAAAAAGAGAAAGATGTCTTAAGCTAACTGCCTGAAAACAAAACTTTAAGTGTCAAAATCACTGACTAATAGAAGCTCTTCCTGCTATCATTTTTCATAGTGTTTATACAGTTCTTCTCCATTTCATGCCTCAGTTTAGCAGCTACAGGGAAGCACTCCAAAACAATATAGCAGTCTGTTTTGAAGTCCTGCAAACCAGCTGTCGAGCAGAGTTTGCCAAGCCAGTACCATTTCTCTGTGTCCATTGCTCTAGTATTGCACTGCAATTCAAAACAAGCCAGAGATGTCTTTAGTGGTTACGAACGCAGCCATCAAAATGAGACAAGACTGTATGTCTCTGCAGCAATGCCTGCAGACAGACTGGGAGATCTCTGGTGGGTATCCCCCCCCTCTGCAGCAGCAAAGCACTGAAGATTCAGCCTTCAGGAGATGAGGAACAGCAACGAACGGAGCCGTTCGGATGGCTTGGATGGAAATGTGAGCTGAAGCTGATACACCTTTTTACAAAGCTCCTGTCAGAGGT